ATACAAGAGAACTGATGAGAGACGAAAATCTGAAGAAGAGTTATGCGAATCAAATTAATGAAAGAATGAGAGTAATAGAACAAAATGATGATATCGAAGATATGGTCAATGATATTAAAGGAACGATTCTGGCAGTAAACAGGGAAGTTAAAACACAGATCAGAAAGAGAAAGCATAACGAATGGATGACGGACGAAATTATGGATCTAATGGAAATGGAAGGCAACATAAACAACAACGTAATCAAGACAAATACAAACAGATACACAAAGAAATTCGCCAGAAAATTAAGAAAGCAAAAGAACGTTGGATGGTGGAAAGGTGCAACGAAATAGAACAATTGCAGGAAAAAGGAGATAGTTTTGGATTACATAAGAAGATCAATGAAATATCGAATATACACAAAAGCCAACACAGAACAAGAATACGCAACGACAGACACGCATACATAGTCAGAAGAGGAGATAGCAATGGCGCAGAAAGAATACGCAGAAAGATTTTTTAATGACGAAAGACCAACACAACCAACGCGAAAACTTCCTTCCGAAAACTTATCAGGGCCATCAATAATGCGAAGTAAAATAGAATATGCAGTTAGAACTACAAAGATGCATAAAACAACAGGTCCAGATGAAATTAATATAGAAGCAATAAAACTACTAGACGAGGAGAATGTCGAAATCTTGGTAAGGCTGTTCAATAGAATTTATGATATTGGCTACATTCCGCGAGAATGGCTGCAGTCATCCTTTGTGATGATCCCAAAAACAGCTAATGCCTCAAAATGCAGTGAACACCACTTAATCAGTTTAATGAGTCTCTTGATGAAACTCTTCCTCAGGATATTACACTCAAGAATGTACAAGATACTAGAAGAACTTAGCGGGTCAACACAATTCGGTTTTAAGGGAGGACTAGGAACAAGAGAGGCAATTTTATGTTTGAACACCTTAATACAAAACTGCTTAGATCAACGAAAAGATGTCTACCTCACCTTCATCGACTACGAGAAGGCATTTGACAATGTTAAACATGATATCATGATGGAACTACTACATAGGGCTAACATTAACCAGAAGGAGATTAGAATTATTCAGAATCTATACTGGAACCAAATGGCAAAGGTGAGGATTGATCAAGACCGATATACGGATGAATTTGAAATCCGGAAAGGGGTCCGCCAAGGCTGCATACTCTCTCCGATGCTTTTTAATTTATATGTTGAAAATATATTTGCGGAAGCATTAGAAGACACGGAATTAGGCATTAAGGTAAACGGCATACCAATTAGCAACCTACGCTATGCGGACGACACAGTGATTATAACTGATAATTTGGAAGATCAGCAGTTATAACTTGATAGGGTGAATAGCATAGGTAAAAAATATGGCCTCAAAATCAACATTTTGAAAACGAAATATATGGTCATTAGCAGAAACCCTCCAGAAAACCCGATAACATGCATAGGTGACGATCGTATAAAACACGTGAAAACTTTTAAATACCTTGGCACCACAATCAATGACCAATCGGATCCACAACACGAGATAAAAACCCGAATACAAATGGCAAGACAAGCTTTTGTGAAATTCAGACCGCTCCTATGTAATCAAAACCTAAATTTGGAAATACACTACAGAATGGCCAAGTGCTACATATGGTCCATCTTGCTTTATGGTATGGAAACGTGGACTTTGAAAAAGATATCTATCAACAAACTTGAAGCATTTGAAATGTGGTCATTGAGAAGAATGATGGGCATACCTTGGGTGGATAGAGTTCGAAACGATGACGTCCTTAAGAGAGCCGGCGTGGAAAGGGAACTCTTTGAATTAATTAAAAAACGCAAGATTGGTTACCCTGGCACATATTGAGAGGAGCAAAATATGAAATACCACAGTTAATCCTACAAGGGAAGATCGAAGGTAGGAGAGGAGCCGGCTGAAAACAATTATCCTGGTTAAGGAATATTAAAAAATAGACAGGAATACACAATACAGGCGAGCTGTGTCACGCCGCCAAGGACAGAATTCTAGTAATGAGATAGTGGCCTACGCACTTTGGTATATGGCATGTTAAGAAGAAAAAGAAAGAGACAATTTTTGAAAAAAAATTTCAGGTTTAAGACATACTCCAAGTATTCCACCTCATCTAATAGATCTGATTAATTCAGTCAACTTAGACAGAAATGTCAACTGCAGTTGTATATAAAAAAGGAAAACCAACCGTTTAACTTTAGCAATACCTGCAAAATTCCTCTTATAAAGGCTGGAAATAGGAGTCAGAGATGATTAAAAAGCGACAGCAGGAGAGTAAGAGAAGAACTAAAGATTTCAAGGAATCAAGGCATGGAATACAAAACAAGCAAAGCAAAAACCAGTAAAAGCTAGAAAGTCAAAATATTTAGATTTGTGTATGAAAAAGTGTGCTGAAAAGGATTTGGACAATGTCTGTAAAAAGGTCTTCGCAGATTATTGGAAGATGAATGACTATAGCAGGAGGTGTAGTTAGATAGCGTCATTATTAGATTTATTACTATTTAACTGGGAATAAGCCAGAATTAAAGATAAAAATACGTTTATTGACGTTTCAATTTCCACTTCGGAAATCGTTCTTAAAATACAAACCATATATTTAAAGCTTATTTCCAGTTAAATAGTAATTAATTTAAAATGCCACAAGAAAATAGCCTCAGAACGTTATTATTAGAGTTAGATAAACTTAAAATAAAAAGATAAAGGAAAGAAAACAGTTCTAAATTTAGACAGGCTAGTGTCATGTATCACATTGATGTTGATAACAGAGTTGTTGTTTGCAAGAACTGTTTTTTAAAAGTATTCGGAGAAAGTCGGAGATTGCTAGAAACTATTATTCAAAAGAAAAGATCATTGTCTTCGGGCATAATTCAACCGAATGACAGAGGAAATTTTAGAAAAACCTTTATAAATGAAGAGAAGAATTCCTTAGAAAGGAATAAAATAAGTGTTTTCGTAAACTCTTTACTTCTTCTAAACTCGAGTTTTTGATATCATACCAAACGTTCGTTAATGATTCTGTTTTCCTTTGGTATTTTCATTATTTTATGCATTTCTTAATTTCATTTCTATTAATTTGATGTAATATATCGTCAGGTGACAAGTAAAACTCGCTAAGTGCCATATTGAAAAAACAGATATATTCGAGTTTTAAAGCATAATCTAATGTAAAAAATCCATTTTTGAATCAATGTTAGAACAGAAGGTAAGTATTTTTAGAAACCATTTAAGCTACCTTATCTTATAGAGTTCTATTAAAATATTGGGTATTTTTGAAGTTTTTGAGAAAAATGTATTTAATGAATTTTTCCTGACGTAATATTGTCTAAAAACTGACAGAAGGTAAATGCAATGAAGAAAGGAAGGAATGTAAACTCAATATTATAACAGACGGTACTTATTTTGAGAAACAGTTTAAGTTATCTTATGTTACAGAGTTTATATTAAAAAATTGTGTATTTTTAAAATTTTCGAGAAAAATGCAATTAGTGAATTTTACCTGCCAAGATATTGTCTAAAAATTCATGCTATAACAGAAGGTACACTCAGTAAAGGAAGGACAGAATGTAAACTCAATGTTATAACAGAATGCAATTATTTTAAGAAACAGTTAAAACTACCTTATCTTATAAAGTTTTTATTAAAAAATTTTGTATTTTTGAAGTTTTTGAGAAAAATGTAATTAGTGAATTGTACCTGCCGAAATATTGTGTAAAAACTCATGCTGTAACAAAAGGTACACTCAACGAAGGAAGTAAGAAATGTTAACTCAATGTTATAATAGGAGGTACTGATTTTGAAAAAAAAAAGTTTAAGCTATCTAACATTACAGAGTTTTTATTAAAAAATTGTGAATTTTTGACATCTTTTAGAAAAATGTAATTAGTGACTTTTACCTGCCGAAACATTGTCTAAAAACTCATGCTATAATAGAAGGTACACTCAATAAAGGAAGGAAGGAATGTAAATGAGTTTTAAACAAATTTTCACTTATTAAAATAATTATTACAACTTAAGAACGCCAAAAAACAATAATTACTGATTAAGTCAATTAACTGAGCTAACATAATCCACAAAATAGCATGCAATAATGACTTTTTTCTACTCTCTTACTAGTAAATTGTATATTACCTACTATTTAACAGATACTGACACTTAATGACTAGCACGTAATAAAAAAAATTACGCTTCAGTTTTATAAAAACGTGTAATATCACTTAAGCCTCGTAAGTCATTTGGCCGAGTTACCATGGAAACGAATTAACAGACGTTATTTTGACAGATTAAAAATTATTAATCTGTCAGTGTAAATATAGTGGTAATTTAATTTTTATTTTTATAAACGAAAATAATCGTAGAAAAAGTATAATACAGAACTTGAGTTGTAAGCTTATTACATGCTTGTAAAATAACTGGGCTCGCCGCTACGCGGCTCGCGCGCAACTTTTTTACTCGCATGTAATATGCTTCTTACAACTCTCGTTATGTTATATACTATTACCTGCCAGGATCTTATTAAAATTTACAAATAATGAAATGTTTCAAGTTGAAAGTCTGTGTTAAAACGATGTTTGTAGCTAGTGACTTTTTCCAGGCAAAGCTCTTAAACCATTAATGCATGTGGTGATAAAATGTCAATTTTGATCATTTTTGAACTTAGTGAGTTTTATTGTTTGGTTTAGTTGGCTATGTTAGTTTGTTTCTCTAGTTTAAATTGTTTTCTGGAGCAGAGTAGAATATGATTTAAGTTTATGTCACCACTGCAGTAAGTTTTTACATATTTATTATTTATTAAGAAGTAGTTGTTTTATTAGAAGATTGCTTTTTCTTCACCTTATTCATCCAATTTTAAATGGCTTTTGTTGGCTTTTAGCATAATTTTATGAAACATTAGTGACTACAGACAACTATAAGTTCATCGGGTTTTTATGAAATGGATATAAACAAATATTATTTAATATTTACCTGGTCATAATCGTAGACTTCTGGTAGAGCGTTTCCCAAAAAGGTAACGGGTGTGTTGATTTGAGCATTTTCCGCAATTTCGCATTCGTAGTAATTGCTTTTGAACGTTGGAGTTTCATCGTTGACATCAGTAACCATTACGGTAACTTCTGTAGTGGCAGTAGGAGTAGGAACTATTTTGCTGCCTATTTCTTTTGCCTAAAAATGAAATAAAGAAAAATAACATCAAAGACGACAAAACGAATGTTCTAAAAAGGGACAAAAAGACAAAAATTAGACGTAGTAGTAGTTGGTAGTTAGAGGTAGTATTGAAAATTATTGTGATTGAAATTGATTCTGTAGTTTAGTGCAGTAATCAAGTATTCGTAAAGCCAAAACTGCAACATATCAGATTTACTCGTAAGCTATGATAGTTATATACTGTTTATGTATAAACTATCTTAGGTCATGGTGCGTTATCTCAATGGTTAATGAAGTGGACTTATAATTATAATACATTGTAACGATATGCATCGCCTCGGTCCTGTCAGCATCACACGTATCCCCACCACAAGTTCCTCTTCCATCGATGTGCGCTATAGGAGATGGAAGGCCTTCGATCCTATAAAAGTGCAGCCTGCTACCAGGGGGTCTTAGTCGTGGACTAATACGCACCCCGATGTACGTTACAAGCTCCACACCAGCAGCTAACTGTATCATCGACCTATTCTGCAGTTCCTGACACTGTCCAGTGCCGTAGGCTTTAGCGATCAAATGTCACTGAAGCCATTAGTCCCAAAAGCTACTCAGGCCTCCGGAGTAGCCGCGAAGTCACTCCCTGCCCTACTACGTATGGTCCGTTAACCACGTAGGCGCAGGCACGTCTTCTACTAAGAAACCGGCTTGAAAATAATTATGGGTTCCTGATGGTCTTGAGGGTCGTCAAAGACAAGGGTGTTGTGACAGAAGACGGTACCTGCAGAAGAAAAAGATGACCACCGGAAGTTACTGTACTGTGTTGTATTTTATGTACAAAGCATTACATATTTGTTACGGACTTAATTTCATAAACTTTGCTAAACTTTCTTTCTTGTACTAATGTAATTGCATTCTTGCTAAGTATATTTTTAATAAATTTTTTTCCAGCCATAGAGTCTTCAGAGAAGGGGATGTCACCGGGGACGTTAGTCGTGAACTAATACGCTCCCGGATGTGCATCGCCCCGCCTTAAAACATCTACGATTTTTGCTATTGGTCGACTGATCTGAAAATTTCATATAAAAACATATAAATATGGCACATTTTTAACTCACGGCCTGTATGCTTCACGGCTTCTATACGCCGGTGACACTGCTCTCCTCACGTCAGAGCCACACGAAGAGCGTGAACAAATGTCTGTATTTGAAAGAGCACAAATCTTCCAATTGTCGTGATATCCATGGCCGGATAACCTTGTTAGGAGAAAACCTTATTCTCAGAAGCTCGGTATCCTATTTGGGAGTTCATTTTAGCAGGACTCTCAACTGCAAAACCGACATACAAGATACCCTGGACAGGGTAAGAAAAATGTTAAAACTCCTGGCAGCGCTGTCTGGTAAAATGGACAAGACGTCATCTAAAACATTATTGCACACCTGCAAAACCTTTATAAGACCGCTAATCGAATATAAGGTAGGCGTCTACGCATAATACGCATCACTGTATGAGGAAGAGCAAATACTATCCATCAGCACACATACATCAGATAGCCAATCTAACACCGATTAACGACAGAATCCTATCCCTCAGCAGGATATATGTCCTTCAACTATTGCAGGCTCGAAAAACAGAGCCAAACAAATACTAAAGATGCCATGCAACCTCCGAGAGCAAATACTCACTAAGGCTCATAAATGAAAAGTTTCATTACCTCCAGCAAAACTTCTACACAACACTGGAAACGAACTTCCTGATGAGTATTTTGATAAATTAGAATCATTACCCATTAAATATCGCAGCTAACAACTTCAAACCAAAAGCGCTGATTGAGAGCTGTTCCCAGTTACCAGTTACCAGTATGGCTGGTAACCCCTTGAAGTACCTCCCTTCGATTTGTTTAGCCTTCTTCGACCACAATTCCTCTTGTGCGCGTCATATTATATCTTCCATATCACACATGCCACCTTCTGAACCCCATCTTTATAGCAATCCACCTCTACATCTCCACAAGCATTCATTATCACGATTACCACACCCCCTTGCTCCGAAAAAAAGAAGTACCCCTTCCTTGAAGACGCAATAGCCCAAACAAGGTTAAAATATTGGGTCCAACTCACTGCCAGTCTGGTTTCGGCTCCCATATAGAGTCTCCTGTAACCTGAGAGTCCGTTTTCGGGGCTCTGCTCCTGTTATTTGAACTGAGACTCTGTGCCTGGACTTTGTACAACGTTTAAAATGTGTTTTCATTTCATTTTAATGTGAGAAAATACAAATATTCTACCTAAGATGGAACATACGCAGAGGGCACTTCGAATGGACTGGTCGAAGTCCCTCTGTAACGCACCGTGGGAATGGATAAGTGGTCGTAGTTTTTCAGGTCCTTCCATTTCATTTGGTGATAAGCAACCGCAAGAGAAAGGCGAGTTCCATTGGAGTCTTGATCTGAGAACAACTGCACTGGACCTAGGGTATTGACTGAAGGCCAACTGCTTCTGCTAGAGTATTCATCTTGTGACAGATTCGTACCTGGCCTTGAAATATTGATCTCAGAGATCTATTCGCCGACCCGAGTGTTAATTGACCCGTTCTACCTCTATTCTTTCGAACTGCTCCTTCCCGTCTGTGTGTATTTACACCGTCATTACCGTTTAACTTTTATGTTATTAATTGAATTTTATTTTTCGCAGATATTAAACTGTGGATCATATCACCGTCGTCAACATGATTGACGTTTTAATTTTTATTGTATATATTAGCTAAAATCTAATTTGATTTTGTTATTTATTAATTTCGAATTTATTTTTATTTAATTTAAACCTGTGTTTTACTGAGTCTGTTGTCTAAAAGATCTACCTGTCACAACATAAAGCAATTCTGATGACGGATTTATCATCTACATGAAAAACGCATTCAAATTATAGGCAATATTTTACTTCAAGAGATACAATAATCTAAGAATAATTATTATGTAGGAATATACTGAGGAAACCTATTATACCTATTATTACTATTTTAATTCGTAAACTTTTGTAAAAGTATTATTACCGCCAACCGCTTCAATATTTAATTTGTTCTTCTTGCAAGATCAACATATTTATTATCATCAATAGCATTAACATTAATTGTAGTTGTTTTGTTAATGCTTACATCGATTTATATTTTTTTAATTGCTATTTTTTAATTCATAACACATCATTAGGATAATGACAGGAAAACACTTAGTTTTCCTTATTTTTATAAAACTTTATTCTGTTTATCTTAGTTATTATTGGAAGAAATATTTTTACAGGAAAATATATACAGTGCTTTTCAGATAAAACTAACCACCTTAAATAACTTTTGAACCTCTAATTTTTTGGAAAAACGCAAAAACACGTCAATTAATATTTGAAGGGGGAGACATTACATAATATTTAAGGTTGCTGGGAAATGCACCCTCTCACCCCTGGAATCAACCCTTTATTTTTTTTAAATCACTTCCTCCTTTTTTTATTTTATATTTGGATTCTCCTTTTTGTTCTGATTTCAAAAATGTATAATACCTTTGGCTTGAAGTGATTCGTTTATTAGATAGATAATTTTCCTGTTAACAAGATAGTACCCTCTCTCACTTTAATTGACTGTAACAAAATAGGTTGTAGCATAATTTAAACTTTTTAAATATTTAATCGTACTATTTGTAGTACCTTCAAAAACCAAGAAACAAAAAATTACAGTTTTATTAAAGTTTTATCCAAGGTTTTCGATATTATTTTTACATTTGTTTTAATCGGTTAATAGCCAACGACAATTTGTTATAACTTTTAAGTAACAGCCTATTTTGATACGTGTCCAATTTGATCGCTGAAATGGTGTACACTTTGCAAGAAAGAATCGAAATTGTAGGTTTATACTACAAAAATAATAATTGTGCAAGAGCTGCAGCTAGAATTTTTAATGAAACACACCATAATAGACATGCAACTCATAAGTATAATATATGGTTAAACTGATGCAGAAATTTAGAGCAAGAGGTTCAGTTTGCAATAAAAAACCTAACCGACAGGGACTTGTAAATAACGAAGCAATCCAAGTAGCTGTATTAGGGCAAGTTAACTTAGAGGCTTAACAATCACAGTCACTGTCAACAATAAGCAGAGCAATCGGTGTTTCATCTTCTACAGCCTTCCTAGTCCTCCATAAATTTAAGTTTCATCCATATACAATTAAATTACTACAAGAGTTAAATGAAGAAGATTTTGATGATCATTAACAGTCCACAATTGTTAAACAATATTTGCTTTTCGTATGAATGCTCATTCTCATGAAACGGTTTGGTGAACATATATAATTGCCGATACTGGGCTGAGAGTGATCCACATATTGTACTCGAATTTCACACACAGCATCCTCAAAGGTTGAACGTATGGTGTGATATCCTACGTAATCACATTATTGGACCCTTTTTATCACTGGAAACTTAAATGGTGCATCGTATCTTGAATTCTTTAGGCAAGTGGTTGATCGTATTAGAACAATAGTAGAAAATAATGATAACCTTTCCGAAGATTTGGTTGAATTTCAACATGATGGAGCTTCTCCACACTTTGCTTTACTTGTGCGATAATTTTTAAACGAAACGTTTCCCGGTCCTTGGATAGGTAAAAGACGACAGATGAAGGATTGGCCACGTAGGTCACCGGATTAAACACCCCTAGACTTCTTCTAATGGGAGTATTTAAAAACAAAATTTATGCTACTCAACCAGAATCTCTAGATGATTTACGACAAAGAATACAGGATGAAAGTCGACAATTAAATGCAGACGTGTTAAATAATGTTAGAGAATAATTACAAAATAGTTTGTACTATTGTATGGAAGTGAAGGGCAGTCATTTTGAACAATTATTGTAAACATTTGTAGTAGTGAAATGTTCATTCTAAATGTGTGTAATAAAATTAAAAAATTTTTTTTTCAATCCAATTTTCTTTATTTTGTATTTATTTTTCTCATAAATTAATTACTTCAAGCATTATGTATTATACATTTCTGAAAACGGTACAAAGAGGAGAATCCAAATATCAAATAAAAAAGGGGGAAGTAATTAAAAAAAATAAGGGGATGATACGGGGGGTGAGAGGGTGCATTTCTCAGCAACCTTAAATATGATATAATATCTCCCCATTCAAATATTAATTGACGTGTTTTTGCGATTTTCCTAAAAATTAGTAGTTTAAAAGTTATTTAGGGTGGATAGTTTTATCTGAAAAGCGCTGTATATAAAAATATTAAAAATAAAACTATTAACATTAACACCCACATAACAATTTTAACCAACACTACTTATGATAAAAACAAAACAAAAAAAAAATAATAAAAAAACAAGCAAAAGAACGAAAAGAAAAGAAGAATATTCCCATATGCGATTTTTTGCAGAATAGCTTTCATGAGAAACCCCAAAATAAGGTTCAAGAAGTCGTCCAGGGGAAAAGTTGTTCAAATATTTTTAAACAATTTTTTTAACAAATTGTAACAATCAATTTGTCGGCCTGAACAATTTTTTTAGCTGGTTTTTTGGATCATTGTGAACACAATTTTCTTTAGTTAATTTTTTTCTAAAGTTGATCGTTTTCGAGATATAAATAATTTAAAACTGAAAAAACGCAAGATTGACAATTTTGTTATTTTGCTCGTTCATCGTGGGTCATGCATTCTCGCTACATGGCCTGCCCAGTTCCATTTAAGTTCTGCTATGCGCTCCACAACATCAGCAATACTCGCCCTTCTTCGCAGATTCTCATTTCTTATTCGGTTTCGCAACGAGACTCTCAGCTTAGGCCGTTCCATTCGTCTATATGCCATTCTCAATTTCGAAGCCGTAGTCTTGGCTAGAGTCATAGTTTCCGCCCCATAGGTCATGACCGGTAATAAGTATTGGTCAAATACTTTTCTGTTGAGGCTAATTGATATATTGGTCCCAAGTGTGTCTCGCAGTTTTCCAAAGGCTGCCACTGGTTATTGGGAACCATATTTGTCATAAACTTAGTTTTGGTCAAGTTCATTCTGAGGCCCACCTTCGAACATACAAAGTTCAATTCATTTAACATATCTGTGGTTTTTCCTAAATTATCTGTGATAAGGACAATGTTATCTTCGAAACGGAGATGGTTAAGCTTTTCGCCGTCTATTGTTATTCCTCTGTGGTCCCAATTGACCATATTTAAGGCATAATCTAATACTGTTATTGATAATTTCGGTGATAATGTATCTCCTTGACTTGTCCCACGTTTTATTTTTATTGGTCGGGTTTTATCGTGTATCTTAACAGTGATAGTGGCATTTTTGTAAACAATGTCGAAGTATTAAATCGAATGGGCAGAGAACGAGAATTGTTACCAATAAAAAGAAGAAAAACTGCTTATCTGGCTCATATATTTCGAAATTCCAAGTACCAGTTCTTAAAGATTATTATGAAATGGAAGATAGAAGGAAAACGGGGCATCGAAAGAAAAAAATACTCATGACTTAAAAGCATAAGATATTGGTGGACAAACCTCGATGCCCAGGCACTCTTTAGAGCCACACAAGATCGAGAGCAGTATGCCAGAACTGTCGCCAACGTCCACTAATTGGATAGGGCACCATAAGAAGATAACTATGGTCAATCCTGCTCATTCATTGCTTCTATAAGGCTGTGTATTTCGATTGTGTCAAACGCTTTATGAAAATATATGAAAGCGAGGACAAGAGGTTTGTTGTATTCTATAGATTTTTTCTTCTTCTGTAGGTGGTCTTTCTCTACTACGTTTGTCTGCTCTTGTACTTAAATTTGTAATTTTGCTCGTCCGTCGTGGGTCATGCATTCTCGCATAATTATAAATAGGTACATATTTGTTTAATACTAGTAGCTTTGTCGTAACTTCTTATGATATTTTTCGTACGCCATTGGAAGATCTATAATAGCAATGAACCATCAATATTACTTCCAAGAATTTACTGCCTAGATTTCTGGATTATGACTATAGTTCTGCTTCTTTTACACCTATTTTTGCGTTAAAATCGCTACATAATTTGTGAATTGAGTACGAAAGTCATTAAGCGCAATAGATATATCGTCATATAACATTTCGACTTCTTCGTATGTATGGTCTGTTGTTGGAGTTAATATCTACTGTTCAGCTTCAGAATAAGATATGTCACTCTAGATGATATACTTTGGATGTTTATTATCTTGTTCGCATGGTTTTTATGGACTAAGAAACCGATGCATCCAAATGATGTAGTTTCAGGACCAATCTGATAGAATATATGCCCTGATTTGAGCGTTTCAAAGTTTCACCCCTCTTTCTATCTTCGCAAAAGTAAAAAATATTATTTTTGAAATCATAAAGTGGCTAAATTTAACTTCAATTCTTTTTCTATAAGCTTCCGATGACAATTCTGGGCTTATTTTATTATAAAACATTGTTTTTTAATTGTTTATGAAGCGCGTATGACAGGACGGGCGCTCATTTGTACAATGGGAGTTCAAACCAGCAAAAATGTGTGCCATATATTTTGTTTCACTCTTATACATGCCGCAGCCCGAGCGCCCGTCCTGCCATAAGAGCTTCATTAACGATTAAACAACAAAGATTTGCTAAAAAAAAGTTTAAAAAAAATTGAATATCAGATTGAATATCAAGAGGTCGCCCATTCCCTGGGCGACCTCTTGAACCTTGTTTTGCATAATCATGAAAGTGATTATGCAAAAAAATCGCATGGAAATATTTTTCCAAATGAACCCGAGATTTTTGCCTTGTCCAACATATTTTCATCAATTTTTTTCATAAAACGGTTAGAGTTTGCTAGTAATTGCTACTATATTTACAATAATATAGGATTTTTTAAACTGTCATAAATAAATTCATCTTATATTTTTTACGTACTGTTATTAGATTTACGCCATGCTATTTTTTATTCTTTTTCATTTAGTTTTAGTACTTACCGTTATTTGGAGAATGTAGGTTCCTGCTCCACCAGGTAAGGCTTCTCTGTCGATGACACTAGTTGTAAATACAACTCCTGTATCTCTCTCTACTGAAAAAACATCATTTACACTATTCAAACTATTCGATAGAAGGGAATACTCGATGGGGTTGTTGACTCCTCGATCGCCATCTACAGCGACAACTAAAAAAAGTAAATATTTAGTTTGAAAATATTAATGAAATCACAAATGTTTTTGCAATTTGGTTCCGTGCTTCATATTTGCTCGTATACTGCAAAAACTAACCAACTCAAATTTTGTCAGTTTTAAGTTAACTTAATCAAGTCCCTCAGAAAAGTTGTTAGTTCTACGAGAAAACTTGACCAAGTCATTTAAATGCAATAAAACTATAAAAAAAAATCGGCCTATAATGACTATGTGCTTAAGACTATATTGGTTACGTACAAAACTGACCAAGTCACTAAGTCAACTTAGTCACTTTTGGCTGTCAGCAGACTACACTTGTCCGTTTATTATGTGCTGTTAGTTAATGATTCGGAACTATTTACAATTTTTTTTATTGAGTTTAATGCGTTGACAACTAATGGTCATTAGCATGGTACAGTGAATTTTTACAGTCAGGTACCTAGTGTAGTGTATGTATGTAGGTGTAGAGTAATTGTCTTGATACTTAGCAAAGTCGACGTCATTGTCTGTGATAAGAGACGCTAATTGTATCCGAACGTCTGCGGTCCCTCCGGTGAGCACCGATCGCACAAGGATAGAAATTATTTTCATTCATTAATTTTTAATAAACGAAAATTTCTCCACCCAGGTGAGATTCGAACTCTCGACCTTTACGTTCAAAGGTAAGCGCTCTTACCACTGAGCCACCTGAGCCACAGAGGGGGTTATTTACAATTTAATAACCGTAAAATATAAAAAAAAGGATGTGCAACAGATGAAAATATTTAGTGTCCTTATGCGTTAATATTATTGAAGAGCATATGACTACTGAAAGTAAGTAAAATATTAAAAATAAGTAATTATTGTTGAAATTGAGGTTAGATTTGTTTGCGTAATAATCTTTACGTATTTTAGTGTGCGTTTATTTCTATAGGGCTACACATTTAAGCAGGAATTTGATAATAAACGTGTATTTAAATTGAAATCTCTGCATTTTTGACTTTTACATTGTATTTTAAGTGCCGCAACTGCTGAGCTTCAATTATCAAAAAACCTCACTGCATTTGCCGATAACGAAATAACTTCTACAAGTACTGAAGAGCATGTCACTGTTGAAAGGTAATAAAATATTAATATTAAATTATTATTATCGTTCTTAAGAAATTGAGGTAAGATATTTTCCGTAACTCTTTACCCTTTACTTCTCTTTACCCAATTTAGTACTCATTTATTTATATAGGACTACACGTTTAAGTAATAATTTGATAATAATCATGTATTTAAACGGAAACCTCTAGATTTTTATTTTTATATTTTTTTTTAGGTGCAGCAGCTGCAGAGTTTCCATCATCAGAAAACGATGTCGAGATACAATGATGAACAAGATAATCTTTTCTTTGCTTTTATAGACTATGAAAAAGATTTCGACAATGTTAAACATTCTCATGGAATGTCTAAAGAGAAAAGGACTCGACAAAAATGACATTAACATAGTGAGAAATCTCTATTTGAACCAACAGGCTGTGGTAACATTAGATGGAAATAGCACGGATGCGCAACAGATAAGTAGAGTAGTGAGACAGGGCTGTGTACTTTCACCATAGCTATTTAATATATATTTCGAAGAGTTATTTACCCAAGCACTTGAAAACTGTATAGAAGGGATCATAATAAATGGTGAAAATATAAATAACATCCGTTATGCTGACGATACAGACATTATCGCTGAAAGTGAGACAGATCTGCAGACGTTACTAAACACAATTTGTAATACTAGGGAACAGTTTGGTTTAACAATAAACATAAAGAAAACAAAAACCATGGTTATCAGTAAGAGGGGCAAAGTCATTACAAGGATCCAGATAAAAAAATAAAGATATTGAGCAAGTGGACAAAATGAAATACTTAGGAGTCTGGATTACAAAAGATCTGAATCCGAAATCAGAAATTTGCTCAAGAATAGAGCAATCAAGAGCAGCCTTTTGGAAGATCAGAAAATTTCTGATATCGGATGATAAAATGGTATTATCCACTCTATTCTTCTTTATGGTGTCGAAGCCTGGACTGTTAATGTTGACTTAATGAGAAAACTGGAAGCTTTTGAGATGTGGCTTTTTGGGAGAATTTTGAAGATACCATGGACCTATCATATTACGAACGAAATGGTGTTCACATAATGGGAAGAGAAAGAGAACTTTTGACCAGCATGAAAAGGCGAAAGGCTAAATATTTGGGACACATTCTTAGAAATGATAAGTATGAGTTGTTGCAGCTGATTATAAAAGATAAAATCGAAGAAAAAAGGGGACCTGGTAGACAACAAATATCCTGGCTGAAAAACATTCGCTACTGGATCGGGTTAAACACACAGACACTCTTAAAAAAGCAGAAGGTAGAGACGAATTTGCAATGGTTGTAGCCAACCTTCATTAGTGGAGACGGCACTATAAGACGAAGATAGATGTACTTACGTCTATGCTATAAACTATTTCTTAGAATTTTCCGTCACTAGATTTGACGATGACTGTCATCGTTGAGACCCTTTCAACTTAAGCCTAACAAACCATCTAACCTAACTTGACGAACAAAGATGTTTTCTTTGATTTAATTTATTTTGTAGTAAAAAAATTTATATGTGTTACCCATTAAGACTGACGTCCCGATCGGACTGTTTTCTTCGATTTTGGTAAAGGGAGTAATCCGAACAAACTCTGGTGGCTGGTCTTCTACATCTTCCACTTTGATTAGCAGTGCAGCTGTGGCTGTGTTGACCCTTCCTTCCTTTGCTCTATCCACTGCTAAAATTTTCAATTGATGAACAGTTTGTTTCTCGTAATCTAAAGAACCTAAAACAGTAAATAACCAGAATATCAATTACAATAATCACTTCATGAATAAAGTGTAAAAACTTAAATCTTTACGGATGAAAACTGTATGTGGTCGATTATTCATGACTAATAGACTAAGGATTAAGGTACAGTTGATTTACTGACACCTATTTAAGAATGAAGATGATATTGATAGATTCTTTCTTTTTTTCATACGTCCGAGTTTCACTCGTTTCAAGTATTAGTTATTTCGTAAGAAAGAAAACATTTTTTTCTCCCGATAGCCTTTTTTTATGAAATATGAAAAGTAAACTTAATTCATACCTCCATGTAAAAAACTTGAGTTTCCAGCGGGTGGTCACAGAAGTACCTGACAAAAAAAAGAAAACACAAAAATTTTGGAAAAAATGTATGTATTTTCCAACATAATCTTTCAGCTTTATATACTTTTCCCAACGATGTTCAATAAGTTCGATACTCTTTTTAGAATAAGAACTGTCTTGCTCCTCAAAATACCCATTGACTGCCGACATTACTTCTTCACCGTTGAAAAATCTTCGAGCACTGAACCATTTTAAAAGTTTTAAACACAAACTATTCCAAAAGTGCTAAATCTGGCAAATAGGGTGCATGAAGTAGCAATTCAAACTTATATTCATGAATTCTGGCCATTCCAATAACGGTTCTGTAAGTGCTATCTTTCAATCAACTGCTGCCATCTGTAGGCTAGGCTCACTACTTACATACTACATACTTACATACTAGGATCAACTACAAATATGCAAAGATATAGTTGAAACAGTATTGAAGACTTACAAGAAATAATGCAAGTTATAACAAGTAGGGGACCATGGGGAGTGACGTTCACTTAACACTTTATTCCATTATACACTTTATTCCAAGTACTTTCACTACAAGTAACATAAAAAAACTGAGTGACGATTGCCGGAAGTCTAAGATAATACCAGTTAATTGCCATTTTATGATATATCTTCTTCTTCTTATGGCGCTACAACCCTTTGTGAGTCTTGGCCTGCTTAAGAATGTTCCCTTCTGCCCTGTGGGATACTTTCCTTCGCCACTGCCCGATGTTCATGGTTTTAAGATCCCTCTCTACGTCGTCTATCCATCTTTTACGAAGCATTCCTCTTGTTCTGTTTCCTTGGGGCTTCCATCTCTGGACTACTTTTACAGCCCGATTATCTGGCATTCTTTCTTGGTGACCAAGCCAGTTTAGTCTTTGTGACTTTACAAATCTAACAATATCTGCGCTCTGCATTAGTTCATTCAGCTCGTGGTTCATTTTAATTATCCATGAACCATCGCTGCATTGGGTTGGTCCAACTATTTTCCTAAGTATTTTGCGCTCAAATGTTCTCAGTTGATTTTCATCAGTGGTTGAGAGGGTCCACGTTTCACATCCATATGTGACCACTGGTCTAATTACTGTTTTGTACATTCTAAGCTTAGACTCACGATTCAGTAACTTAGTTTTCATTTTCATAAGTCTTTATATGCATAAAAGCACTTATTACCGCTAAGAATCCGTGCTTGTATTTCTTGACTGATGTTGTTGTTGTCATTTATTATTGAGCCCAGGTAGGGAAAAGTGGAAGCATATTCGTAGGTATAGTTATTTACTTTCAGATTCTCATGTTGATTCGTTTTTGTGCACTCCATACATTTTGTTTTGCTTTCATTTATATATAGACCAAACGTAGCAGCTTCTCGTTTCAGTTCTATAACTTTTTCGCTTAATACCCTTTTGTTGCGGCTTATTATGGCAACATCATCAGCATATGCGTATATTTGCATTGATCTTGTATTAATACAGCCGTTTATATCCAGTTTTCTAACAACAGCTTCTAAAGTTAGATTAAAAAGTGTTGTTGATAAGGCATCACCTTGTCTAACTCCATTTTCAATATCAAAGGCCTGCGTCATATCTCCATCTATTCTCACCATAGCTTTGAAACCCTCCAGAGTCATTCGTATAAGTTTAACCAACTTATTGGGTATCCCTAACATAGATCGTTGCTTTAACATCTTTTCTCGATCTACTCCATCAAATTTTTCATATATACCTCTTAACATATATATTTGGTCTATAGTTGACCTCTTTGGTCTGAAGGCACATAGTTTCACCAACCATCTCCTCCGAAAACGATTCCAGGCGGCTGTATATAATTCCTGATAATATCTTGTATATAGGAAGTATGACTCCTACTTTCCAATCTTCTTTGATGACTTCTAGTGTCCATATACGGTCGATTAGTTTATGGATACGCCTCCATAGCGCATGTCCACCATTCTTTATTAGCTCTGCAGTTATTCCATCTGTACCAGGTGCTTCGTTATTTTTTAGATATTTTATGACATTTATCGTTTCCTCCAATGTTGATTGCTCAATTAGTTGTTCTGCTATGTGGTGAATTATTTTTCGTCTTCGTTTTGTTCTTTTTCTGGGTTTAACAGCTCTTCAAAATGCAACTTTCACCATTTCTATAATTCCTCTTTGTCGCTAATAATTTCCCAATTTTTGTCCTTGCAAACTGTTGATTTTGTCATGTATCCTTGGATGTATTGCTTGATTTGCTTGTAAGATTTTATGATATATATATGCATTGCTATGCTTTATAAAAGTCACTAAACTCTTGATGAACCCATCTAGTGCAAAGTGTGCACCTAAACCATAGCTCACCATCTTTACCAAAGTCATTGCAGATTATGCGGTATTCATTCGGAGCTGCGTCTTCAAGTTCGTCATTATCACAGAGTTCATTTTCACCTACACTTTCACTAGAATATGAAGACGCTTCCCTACATATTCTGCGGTTAGGTGGCATCCTTTTTGTGTTAAATTTTATATTTCTTTTCGATTTTCTTATGGGTGCAAATTGTTTCGAAATTCGAAAAGGGTATTCAAATCAGAATCTCTAAATGTTGTTTCCGTTTTAAAGTTTTTTCTGGGTATTTGATGGTCCGTGTATTGGCATTAATTCTGTAAATAATTTGTTTGGTTTTAGAGGTCATTTATTTGGACTGCTTTCTGTAGAAATGTTTGGACTTGGAGATCTTTTATTTCTTTCTTGCATTGCTGAATTTACTTCCAGAATCTCCGAATCTTTTAAAGTATCAGATGTCAGAAAGTCTTCGTCACTGAACACGTATGGATTAACAGGACATATTTCAGTCACCTCGAATCCTTTAACTGCCTTCTCTACTGTTGCAATATGAGCATAAATATTATCAAACAAGAATGTTAAGTCATATGGTATAATTTGCTGATTAATGCTATGTTTATTGGGCCAAAAACTATTATGTTCGGTGGTTGCATTTTGTGGAACGTATGTGGTGCCAATAAAAGTGTCTCTATTCCATTGCTTTTGCAGATTAAATAACTATAAAGGGAAGTATGGCTGCTAGGGTTGTCCAGAATCATAAGGACCGGCTCTTCAATCGATGCACGACTTGCAGTTTTGAATTGTTGGAGTCATTCTAGAAATAAATCTTCAGTTATCCAACTTGACTTACTGCATCGATAAATAGACCCAAGAAGGTTTTTACCTCGCTTCCAATTACTTACAACACCGACTGTTTTTACCCTTTTAGTGCCAGAATATTTCAAGGATTTTGGACGGTAGAAATCCCTGTTTCATCTACGTTAAATATCCTCGCAGGACTAAATTTATATCGCTCCATTATGATTTCGAGGTTCGGGCAAAACCCTTGAGCTTCATACCTACCTATTAAATACGTTCATTGTGTTGTTGCTTGTCGGTTCGGGTTTCCTCAGACTTAACCTAGGGTTTCTTCTAAGGAAACCATACATCCAGTCTACACCGGCGAGTTTAGTTACCATGTTAAATCTATGCTTAATTTAATTTTTTTGGCGAATTCACATACCATACGCTTTACTTGAAATTTGAGATATCCCATAAAATAGTTTTGACAAAAGTAAAACAGTTTGCAATTTCCGTTTCTTCACACTTTGTTAATGTTGCAGAATGTCCTAATCTAGCGGGAGTGGATACTCCAGTTCGTATTCTATCTCTGATTGAACACCATATCTCTTGCTATCACTTCGAATACTTGTTCCGTTTTGAATAGACTGCAGAGCACTTTCCATCACCTCAACTAACCAAGAAGCAATTTGCATGTTTTTTTTTTCTTTCACGGGCCATCTGAAAAGTAAAAAAAAATATTGAAAATCACACAGATAACGATATTTAATTTTAGGGTAACTACGCTCACTATGGAGTAATCCCACTCATAGTAAGTGGCATTACCTCACTTTATTAACTAATGATCAATAGACTAGAAAATATTAACTGTATATTTGTTCTCTAAACTGAATATATTTACGAAAACCTACATTAATATTTATTCGTATACGTCAAAATTACATTACTAACAGTAAAAACATGGTACTTACCATTAAATAGAAGTTAGCACAATTTTACATCAAAAATATCAACTTAATTTATTCTTAATTACACCGACCATACTGTACAGCGGAATAAAACTAACTGAGCTGGATAACGGAACAGGAACACACCAACAAAGCCAGCGCGGCCAAATCGCGTTTGTATTACGATTTTCGTGGTAAATCGGTCTGAGCGGCATTACCCACGTGAGCGTCATGCTCTCTTGTTCCACTAACGATGACAGGGACTAAACATAAATACAAATAAAACAAAATAAATGGTGGTCACACGCAATGTAAATCACCAGGATTTCATCTTTGTAATATATGGTATATACAACAAAGCAAATGGAGTTCGTACCCAAGTGTTAGTATGATATTTACCCGAAATTTAACTACAAATTTAAATAGACAATAAAAGATCAGCCTTTTAACGAATGAAAAATCGGTCGCAAACTCTCCCTTATTTTTGACATACATTGGATGTCTGAGATAGATTCGTAAACACTTATATTCATTACATATTATTGTATGAAGTCTTCGAAATGTGTGATTTTCGAAGAAAGATCCCATAGACAGTATGCAGTATGACTAAAAGTTGTTACAATTGATGGGAATAATAAATAACTTCTTAGAATTGTCAAAAGTAAGCAAAATAGGTTATTTAGAATATAGTTATCAAGGAAGGACATATAACCTACTACGTCTTTACATAATGGAGTGAAATATTGAGAGAGAAAGACGTTCACCAAGAATAATCTCATTGGATAGACAATTGTACATATGATAATATTCGTATGATAGATATAAACCTGCCGTAAATAGGGAGGGTCCTAAAATTGAAGAATACATTAACAATTATTACATGTGCAATGTACGATTCCCATCATATTCTAATACCTTTGCATTTAAAAATCTTGTAGCGTATTCACTAAAATGACTTTTATTATTTAGTTGTGAATTATATTTAGCATTGTAGAAACTAAATGTCATTATTTAGAAAACTTTTTTCAGAATCATTCCGTTGATAGTGACGGATGTAGTATTTAATACATGTTCCTGGCATGACTTTCTTTTTTCCCGTTTTTGCCACTGCGAATTATTTCCTTTCTTACCTACTAATCGTAGCACTGCCCTCTCTCCTACTGTATTTACAGCAAACAATTCCTTTTCTCCATCTATATTCTGTAAATAATAAACGACTTGTCCATATGCTCCTTCGTCTGCGTCTGTGGCTTCCAGAGTAGTAATGGTGCCCGGTTTAAAATCTTCGGCCACAGTAATAGTTGGTTGGTAACTTTTAAACACTGGAACATTGTCGTTGACATCCTCAACCAGAAGAAGCAGGCCTTGGGTTACATAGTGACCGTACCCGAGATGGCCGTCTGTGAGGGTGAGTACAAGAGAATACTCGTCTTGAGTCTAAAAAATTGTGAAAGTAGATTATAGGTTAGAATAAATGCGTATCTCTTACTTCTCGATCTAGTTCTTTGTTCAGATAAATATTGGCTTCCGATGGTGACGTATTGTCTATTCGAATAATGTCGCTTCCAGGAAATCGACTTACTCCAAATTTGAGGTAATCACCGTCTTCGTCGTAACCTCTTAACTGATAAATTAAAGTACCTAAAACAACAAAAATTGTAGACGGTAAAAAACACATACTTTTCTTCTTTTCTTATCTTCTATTTCTACTTCTCTTAAAATTACTATTTGCAGATTACAGGGTGGTAGACGGATAGAAAAGAAAAAGAATGGAAAAAAGCAAAGCTGAAGAAAGCACATAAGAAGAAATGAAAAACAGACATAACTAGAATAAAGTTCCAACAAGGAAGATGTAAAAAAATGTAAATGGAAAACATTTGACAAAAAAGGGATCATGACGGTTGAAACTGAAAAGTAAAACGAATTGAGATATTAGAAAGAATTAGCATTTAAGAAAACGATATACGCATGCACATGCAACTGTATAATCCAAAATTAAGTAAAATATAAGCGACATATGTATAGGTATATTGTAAAGGACAGTGGCAAACTAGTACAAAATACAAATTAGGACGAGAACAAAGAAATTGAATAGAAGAGTAGTAGGGAAAAGTGATAAAATATATAAAAAACAGTTAGAAATGCAAAGAGGTAAATAATTTATTAAAATAAAAAGTTAAAAGATATTGACAAACGGGGAAATTACTGAAGACATGAAGAAAGAAAGAGAGAAACAAATAATAAAGTCAAAAGGAAGGACTGAGAAAATAACTACTTATCTTACCGACAAGTGTCTCTGCCTTTCTTTTAGTCTAAATATGATTTCGGTTTGGCCACCAGTGACGAACTTAGGCCTTTTGTTTGGTGACAGAAATAGAGAAACAAATACAGTCAAAAGGAAGGAATGAGAAAACTAATTATCTTACCGACAGGTGTCTCTGATCCCTCTTTCAGTCTTAATATGATTTCGGTTTGGCCATCAGTGACGAACTTGGGCGGTTTGTTGCCTTCTGCTACACTTAAACTAATAACTAGGAGAACTAACACTAAAATATTGCACTGGGTGGAACACTTGGATGGTGAGTTGTCGATTTTGAATTTGATCTTTACAAAGTAACCCGTAAAAGTTCTTAGAAAATTTTTGAATATTAATCGATGGATCTCCATTTTTGGTTCGTCTGGTGATCTGTTATTTTAATTCCATAATGGCGTTGTTCTGTTGTGTTGTGTGACGATGTTGGTCATAGTGGACGACTATCTGTAAATAATACAATTTCATTAAAAACTATTTGCACGTTTAATATATAAAAAGAAGACACATACTTATAAAAATGGAGAGAAAAAACTATTCTTTCCTAACAACATTTTTTTATTTAGGAAGGGCAATAAAAAAATGTTCTCATAAACTTAATGACAATTAAAACTTACAATAAAAATTTTTAAAGCCGATAGTCTCAAAATTTGTAGAAATTCGAAGATTTCTTACTTGGCCAAAGTAAAATTCAAACAAAAAAACATTTGTTTACTTCGCTTTTTACAATATATAAAGCAGACAGATTGATCAATTTACCGACAATGGGAATCTATAATTTACATTCTACGACCCGTCGATCATATGCAGAAACTCTGAATTAAAAATAAATCCCTGCCGTCATAAAAGTATAATTATAGAAAACAATTATATAGGACGTTACAAAGCCATCTGATGACAAAATTAGTAGAAATCCGTCAGTTAAATTCATCAACCTGTCTGCTTTAATCCCGTTTCGAGTATATGAGGAGTACATTGACTCGATTATGCAAGAGGCTGGAGACTGTACCGGTCGTCATAGCTGGTGACCTAAATGCGAGGGATCGTCCATGGAACCCACGAGTGCAAGATGGACGAGGAAAATACCTATCAGAATGGATCCACGCAATGGGGCTTACCATGTTAAATGACGGTAAGGTACTTACATTCGTGAGAGGTAATAGTGAATCCTTTTGGACATCACACTGGCTTTAACCAAATTTCTAAACAGGGTCGTAAGCTGGACTGTTTTGGAAGAAGAATTGCTCAGCTTACACAAGTATGTGAGTTTTGAAATAGCTAGCAAACGACAGAAACGTAAAAATGGGGATATCAATTTAAAGAAATGTTTAAATGAGGAGATTTTTGTAGATGCTTTTGGCTTGATTGGTCCGGGATGTAAGAATATGCGTGAGTTAATTGAGGGCCTGAGTAATGCACAGGAGTTTTCTTGTGTAAGATCAAATGGGAGGTATGAAAGAAAACAAATATATTGGTGGAACAAGCAGCTTGAACATCTGAGGACAAACTGCATTAGAGTAAGAAGGGAGTGTAAGAGGTTAAGAAGAGTACAAGCAGTAGATTTGTTGGAAAACGACACCCTATGTCCTGCCTGAGGAGGAGAAACTCCGTTTAATACTGAAACTCTTTCCTCAGGTGTAAGATAGGCGTGAAAGGGTTATTGGTTTCGTAGATGCTGAACCTTTCACTGAGTTGGAACTCGGCGAGTCTGTTAGACAAATGAAGATCCAAAAAGCACCTGACATAGATGGAGTCATGCCGAAGATAGTAAGACCCGCCGCACTAAAATACCCGCAGGTTTTTCTGAGATTGCTAAACAAACTGCTTAAACAACAGCAGTTTCCAACAATGTTGAAAGAAGCTAAGGTTGTCCTTATACCGAAAGGTAAAGGTCAAGAGGAAGAGGTACGATTTCGGCCAATTGGCCTTCTTAGTTCGATAGCTAAATTGTACGAACAGCTTATAAAAGGTCGCCTTGAGCGAGAGCTAGAAGAAAAGCATGCGCTGAGCAATCGCCAATATCGTTTTAGGGCCAAAAGGTCCACCATAGATGCGATCACAGAAATAACCCCTTCCTTTAGTCACGCAGGATACAAAGAGATGGGTGGCTCATATTCTGCTCGACGTCAAGAATGCCTTTAATACGGCATCATGGGAATTACAAACCTATTATCATGGTACCAATAATAAGTAAAATTTTTGAAATCTTAACTGAAGATCGTATAAAAAATTATTTGGATAAAAAATCAATTATATCTAGCTCTCAATTTGGTTTTAGAAAAAATACTCAACAATCCTCTACCAGTTTCAACCGGAGTATCACAAAAATAAGTTTTGGGACCTCTGCTATTATATATATATATATATATATATATATATATATATATATATATATATATATATAATATATATATATATATATATATATATACTGTGGGTGATCAAATTATTATAATCAGTCACAAAAGTTTAAGTTTTTCAAATTTGTTCAAAAATTTTATAATAAAATCATAGGCTGCTATACGATTAAGGTATGCCAATATGCAAATGCAAATATTTTGTCACTAACAACCTTAATTTTTTGACGTTTACGTTTTTACGTTTATTCAGAGAAGAAAGAAAAATGAGGTATATCTTCGTAAACAATAGAAAGAAGCCAAGAAGAATCCTCACGGGACTTATTCGTGAAGCCAGTTTCTGACATGTCAGTCCGCAGAAAGCTTGCTGAGCAAGGTTTCAAATCATGTCGCCCTGCGAAAAAATCAAAGTTGATCATCGCAATGATGAAAAAGATTCTGGAATGGATCAAAGAACACCAAAATTGGACAATTGAGGATTGGAATAAGGTAAATTACTTCACTACTGAAGTTTAAATTCCTATAACCATTGTTATTATCCTAAAAAAATATCTTATAGTTTTTTTAATTCACGGGTTTGTTTTCCCGACTAGTCTACAGTGGAGATACTCATGGATAAGTCAGCCTTCGTCCAAAGGCGAGTCGGTGAAAAATATCACAAGGATGGCATAGTGGAGCGAGTAAAGCATCTTGTCAAGATCATGGTATGGTCTGTTATCAGCAGGAAGGGCACAGGGAGGCTGTACATTGTGAATGGAATGATAAATCAACATTAGTATATTGAAGTTCTGGGAAGAAAGCTCATGCCACAAATCAAAGACTGGTTTGGCGAATCGGAGGATTTTACCTTTATGCACGATTCAACAGTGTGCCATAAGGCAAAAACAGTAACATCGTACTTGGAAAAACAGAAAATTAAAGTACTGAAGTGGCCAGGTAATTCCCCAGAGTTGGAAAATACCAACTGTGATCTTTTTGCAGATGACACAACCTTATTATGAAGTGGCAAAACTGATTATAGTCAGGAACTATTAAAAAAATCTAAATCCTGGTTTAACTATAAAAAAATTAAGTTGAACGAGCAGAAAACTCAGACAATAGTATTTAGTTCCGATAGATGGGTTAAACATCTGAACCAGTAAAGTTACTAGGTGTTACTAGGCGTATTGGCTACTTTTGTAAGTCGAAATATTCTTAGGTCAGATTATTTTGGAATGGTTCATAGTATCCTGACATATTGCACAATTCTTTAGGGAAACTTGTCCTATGCATATAAAATGTTCACTTTTCAAAAAGGAATAATCAGAATTATTGAATCAGTAGAATATCGCACCAGCTGCAAACCCTTGTTTAAAAAGTATGGCATTCTTCCTTTACCTTCAATATATATTTGAAAGTTTGTTAACTGTTCAAAATAATATACAAGATGTAAAAACACATGCTGATCATCATCAGTACAATACAAGAACCAAAAGTCATATCACTATACCATATTCCAGATTGTGTGTCACACAACTTAATACAATAGATTATGATCTGTATAATTGTTTTTTAAACCTGAACAAAAATATTGATATTAAGGAAATACATTCTAAACAATCTAATAAATTAGCAAAATACTTTTTGTTGGAACACTGTTTCTATGCTTAGTAGGACAGGAATTTGGTTGTTTGAGCTCCTAGTGTAGTCGTTTTTATGAAAATTATTTTACACCTAACTAAATTGTATTTTTATATTTCTATTTTTCACTGTATGTTATATTATGTGCTCTTGTATTATTTCTTAGTTATTTCCTCTGTATACATAAGTGACTTATTTATATTGTGACATGACATGTAGTGTTTACTATGTAAAAATTGTTAATAAACGCATCTATCTATAACGAGTAGATAATGAGCTGTTAATCATCAGATGTTAATCAGATCAATCAACCTTAAAGTCTTGTTTTAAACGAGACATTGCAATTTTGTAATTTTTTCTTCATGTCATTTTCGAATAATAAACGACTCGTGCAATCACGAATCCAGTTATAACATTACAACTGAAATCGCAGTAATCGATAATGAGACAGGAAACAGTATGTCGCTCGTTCTTCTCAAAACTTTCAGAAAACCATTTACTCAACATTATTGTGAAAAGATTTTATGTTTCTTTAATTACTTTAAAGATAATTCTTTCCTGTTCCTGTGACTCGGGAAAGTAACTTTAAGCGACAAATCTTGCAGCTATTTTTACATTTTCTCATATGTCCATCTCAAATTGATTTTTTAAATAAATGTACTTGTAAGTTTCCCTTTAATCGTCGTTTTTCTCTCAGCTTTGTTCTTTTGCTAAGCTCTAGGTTAAATCCGAAGCAAATTGCAGTGATTTTCATCTATAAATAGTTTTAAGTGATTTTAATCTAACGTATAATTTATTATTAATCACGAACAACATGGGAAAGTCGTCTTTGTTGATCTGCATATAATAACAAATTAAGTGAAACCGAAGAAATAGATTAATTCGCGTTACAGTTATGCTGTGTTTTCATTTTCTGTGAAATCGCCATAGATAAATAGAAATATAGAGATTGTTGTTTTTAATGAAGTCGAAAGTGATACTATAAAATAAAGGAACAAAAACAGTGACAAGATCGAAGTGTTTGTTTTTTTGTTGCTTGGTAATAAACTTTTATCTGCCTCATTCATAATGAAAATAATTTATGCACATTTTCAATATTACAATTGGCCCGTAGAAACATCTGATTTCATTAGCCCTCCAGGTTGGTGAGTTGGGGCTCCATCTTTCATAAAAAAATGTTTTCAAAACGACTAGATAGCCTCGGAACATGGACAAGAAACAAGGAATTTGAACTAGACGACAAAAATGGATAGGGAATTGCACAATTTAGGACGTACAAGGAATCGGGACAAAATTTGAAAAAATTGCTAAAGAAGCTCAAACGTGAAACATTGACGCCCTAGCTCATCGGATGGAAAACTGTATCATACCTAGTGGTC